TTGTTAAAACGGAGAACTTATTTAAAGCGAAATGCTAATAACAATAAATGTTAACTGACTTAATGCAATGTGAAATTGCTGCTTCAACATTCATACAAATGATAATTCAGTCTAAGTGACTCTATGTTCTGTTATATAGACATTACTTCGCAATTTGCAGGGTAATTGCATACAGAGCTACTAAACAAATTTGTTTTCTTTTGCATCAAAAATGCTTTGCACATCTCTTCAATATATGAAGAATATTTTTAAATGCATGTTTTTTAGTGGGATGGTGTGGGCAGCTGATCTGTTGTTGAATATTTACTAGCTGTTAGTGAGTCTCTGATCATCTTATCAATATCTAATTCCCTTTCTTTGTGTGGTATAATTGCATAAAATTTAAGAGAAATCCCAACAGATACCTAGATCTATTCTTACAGTATAGATATTACCCTCCTTCACTAACTTACAGCACCACTAAGTAAAAGTACCAGTCTGTATATAGCAGCTTTGAAAAAAGGACCCTGGGAAAAGAATTTATTGTGTGTTCATAATTACTTTTTTTGGCAAAATTTACCTTGTAAAATATTTCAATAGGAATAATGTTTATTAACTAGCACTTTTCTGATGCTTTATATCTTTTAAATCCAAATTGGTCTTTTATGTATAAGTAGAAGCATCTTTGTTTATATTTTTCAATTTATTCATATGCATAGTTCTTCAATAATAGTACAGAGTACCAACTTTGTTGCAAAATGTTGATTTTACTCTCTCCCCTACTCTCTTTGATTTTACTGTTCTCAGTCCTGCGTTGCAGGAAGAATGATTTTGAATAATACGGTCATGATGTCAAAACAGTGGAAATTATATGCTGCTGCCATCTGGAATAGTGAAAATAAAACCTTTATTTACACTGTTCTTTGAAATAATAAACTTTATTGCAGCAGTTTATCTTCAGTATCTATAGTGTATTCTGGGAATACTCCATGTGTGCCTTTTTATTCTGTGAGCTGCAGAATGACTAAAATTTGCCTGTGGCAAAGCTATCAGTGAATCTTGAAATAGATTTTTTTTTCTTCTTCCTGAATAGAATGGAGAACCACCCTCCATTTTCACAATGAGAATAACTGGTTCACATAGGACAATATTTTTAAGAGACATAGTAAAACACTTTGAGTATGTATTTTAGTTAGGCAGATTACACAGATTTAACTACAGGTCAACATGGATATTCTGGAACAAGGAGATACGTAACAGAAATATTACCCAGTTTTCATTTCAATTGTCCCGTTGTGGACCCTGGTTCTACTACCTTGCCTTAATACTCCATAACCTGCAACCAAAGTCATCACAATTTGCTTTGGGTACTTCACATTTGCACTTCACATCCATATCACAGTAATATTATCATAATGTACTGTAACTGAGAAAACGATTCACACTATTCTGTCTTTCTTGTTAAAACATGAAGCTGATTGACAAAGTGATTCAGCAAGATAGCTATGAAGAATTTAAGACCCAATCTGTTTCTAAAATCTGCCACTCTTCTTGCTGCCAGCAGGGCCTAGACATGATCTGAAAGTAGCTTTTTACAGGAAAAGTAGTCAAAATATTCAGAAGGTGTGGCACAAAGGTTGGATGAAGATCAACATTTTTCTCTTTGTTTAGCTGTGTTGTACACCTGGATAGATTTATCATGAAGAGTCATATCAATTGTACTGGATTTGGATGAAATCCTTTGCTTTCTTTGGATCCAGCTTATATATCCAGTATATACATACCGTATACATGCTGTATACCTTCAGACATAGCTTGGGATGTTCCAGAAATCTTATGAAAAAAATAAATCATTTTAAAAAGTGAGATTGCAACAGCACACTTTTTCCTTTACAATGAGAGAAAAAACAGTTAAAGGACGAGCAGAACAGAGTTAGTGATGCATAGTTGTGGCACAGCTATGTTCAGAGGTGGTTTTCTTTTTCTGTAGATACTCTTAAAGGTAAGTGTGGTTTCTTTTTGGTAGAGCATAATTTAACTTGTTCGTATTTTCAGGATACCACTCCATCAAAGTTACTCTTTACACATAAAAGCTGAGTTTGAGTCTCTACTCTAATGCCATTGCATTTGTGAGAGGAGGCTCACTTCTAAGACAGGTGCAGCAACATGTGAAATTATGTGTTGGACAATGTCTGTAGATATACTGAAATCTGAATGTAGAGGCTAATGTGTTTTTTCCATACATGTTGCTTGGAAGGGAAGGAGTTACCATTTTGACAAAACTGGCAGCAGGTAGGTTTCCTACCTTGAGGTAGGAATCTCAGGGACATTGTTTACAGATGAGCAATGTCAGACGGACTGAATACACAGAGAGACAGTTTAGAAATACTAAGAATAACCGTGATGGGAAGCAAGGCAAGGCCGTTCCCTGTCATTCTCTCTTAAGGGTTCATGTGGTAACCAGTCCTGTAATTGCCTCTCTGTGTTGTTCAGATCATACATTTGGTGAAAAATAACTCTTGTAGAGCTCATCTACCAATTGGAAATGATACTACCACAGGACTAAAGGCATTTTCTTAATGCCAGTAATGGAATGCAGCGCTGTTAAGACACCTAACAAATTCAAAGAATGTGCTCTATTTCTAAATCTCTTGTATCTGTCATCCTAAACAAAATATGTATTACATGTATGACTCACTAAGCACAAGGACAGAAAAATCTGCCCTTTAATGGCCACTCAAAATGACAGTACCGAATGGCTCTGAGAAGGTCAAGTCTGATTTAAATTGTTGATGAATTGGAAGCTAATTCACTAGAACTGAATATTAATAGGGAACAGTGGTATATACTGTGGTTTAGAACCTAATGAGCATATTAATGAGCAGTAAAAAATATTTTTCTTTTCAACTCGTGTAAAATTGTAGAGATACCAATATATCAAAATTTTCTAATAGATACTTTTCTCTTACTGTGGCTGAGAGGCAGTTGTTCACTTGTTTGATGCTCAGCTCTCTTGCACAGCGTTTGATGATCTGTCAAACTTGCTATCATCAAAATGTAAAGACAGTTTTGTACAAATCACCAATAAACTTAGAGAGAAAAAAAGCAATTATCATCTTAAAGACTAAATCCACCGTGATAAGCACTCCAATTAGAAATTTCATTATGTCCCTGGTCCATTTTATGTTGAATATTGGGTTTTATTGCCAAATACCTGAAAAGCAGATTGGAAACAAGCCACAACTGTCAAAAATATAACAGTTCTGGCTATTTGAATCTGTTACATTGTGATGTTTCTCATGAAAATTTCATGAAGAGCATTCATTCAAAGAGATTCTATGCATAAGGGGGATGGATGGAATTTAATTACCCTTATTAAAAATAAGAAAGGAAAGCTCTTTACTACTCCATCCTATTAGTATTCAAGATAGATTATCTTTGTTGTACACTTATGTATTTGCAAAAGGGACTCCAGGGTTTTCTGTACAAGCCAAATAAGAAAGGAAAGGTCAGGTCATAAAAATCGTGTTCTGTGTCACAAGTCAAGTCTTGTCTGTTACTCCCAAAGTAAAGATTTCATCTTTATAAACAGGCACGAAACATACCTTTATTTGAGAAGAGCCTATAGCTAGTGAAGGATTTGACACTTAACCACTGATTGGCAGAAATACTAGCTCTGAAGAGTTATGTGAACTTACTGGAGAGTTGTGTTTACTATACCAGAGTAGTAGCTATATACGTTTGTATTGCGAGCAATTAAGTAGGTCATAGGTGACAGCAGACCCCAGGAACTGTGAAGATTTATAGGCTGTATTGGCTTGCTATACATTTTTCAGAAAAGTCTGAAGAATTTGCTTTAAACTGTTTGAAAATTTGACATATTTTTCATGAAAGAGAGTTGACATTGAACAATTTCTTCTAAGTTAATTTTATCCCTTAATCAATTGCATGTCAGTAACCACCAATCAAGACATTTAGTAAGAGATGAGTTTTATAGTTGGTATTGATCCTTTTCCTGTGATTTTTTTTTTTGCTTGTCCTTTCTGAACTGAACTAATAGCAACTATTTTGCAATAAAAATATTTTTGCCACCCTAATGGAAATGAAGAGCAAGATGATGTAATTCAAATAGATTACTGTACCTATGCTAACTTGATTTCTGAGAAATTGCCTGATCCCACTGTGCTTCCAGCGTTACTTGCTAACATATATCATCTTAAGAAGGTAAATTGCCCTTGTTCAGTATTTCTAATATTTCGCTATTGACTGCACTAGGGTGAGGATGTTTGACCATGTCTGAGTGTTTTATTTGATGCAGTTGTATCCATTCAAGATCATTATGAATCTCCTGTCACTTTAACTTTGATAGCTGCATAGCTCCAATGTTTACAGTTTCTCAGTGCTTTGCGATCTTATAATGCACTCATCCTCACAGCACTTCTCTGTAGCAGTAAAGGGCTGTCATACCCATCCTACAGATGGACAACTGAAGCATAGGGACATTAAATGTTCAGACCAAAAGCACATAGGTAATAATGATAAAAGCAAGAAGTATAACTTGGGTCTCCGAAGTCCCTGGCCAAATCCTATACTGCATGATCACATTTCCTTATGTACTTGTCTCATATAAAGAAAGGGGGGTTCCCCTGTTGTTGATAGGTATGGTAATTCAATATTTCACATACAATAATAAGGACTCTCGCAAGCAGAGCAACTTCAGTGTTGTAAAGTACTACAGCGGGAGTCCAACGGTTATGTACTACATACAATAGCTATGCCAATTTCATGCATTTTATAAGTAAGTATAAAGTTTGTAGCCACTTTTATAGGAACTTCCTATTTTGTATCAGCATTTTGATCACTGTAGGTTACTAAAAATACTGCCTGAGTATCTGTTTTTTGCATCAGTTCCCTACGTACAAGGGGGATCCTTGAACATTAAGCAGGGTGGTGACTGGCGCTTTCATGAGTTACTATGTAACTACCGTGAAATCCTTCAAATTGTAACATTTCTTTTCCAGAGGATCAAATTCCCCGAGGTTTCCCCACCATTGATATGGGCCCACAGCTGAAGGTGGTTGAACGAACTCGTACAGCTACCATGCTATGTGCAGCCAGTGGCAATCCTGATCCCGAAATAACTTGGTTCAAAGATTTCTTACCTGTTGACACAAGCAACAACAATGGCCGCATCAAGCAGTTACGCTCAGGTAGGGTCTTGTTACTGTTTCCACTAACGCCCAGAGTTGTTCTTTCTCACCTTTTCTTTCTTTTCTTTCTCTTCCTTTTCTTTTTTTATTATTTTTATTTATAGGTAATAATTTCTCTTCCTCCTCTCTTTTCTGTGTTACTAAGTGTGTTGTCCATGTCTGTGATGTTGTCATAGCCTTTTCTAGAGTCTGTCTCTATGTGTTTTGCAGCTTCTGTTTACTCCACATTGCTCACTGCTGTGACTGTACTTTTTGATAATTTTTTTCTTTACTGCTTTTTGCAGTACTTGATGGATCCATTTTCTCCTCTTTCTTTCTTCTTTCCTTTTTATTTTTTTTTTTTTAACAAATTTATTTCAACATTGGACTTCATTCAGAAATTGCAAGGAGTACCAATGGTTATATTCATCAAAACCAAAACCTGCATTAGACACTTCAATTAAAATTTAAAATGTGTTTTGTGCTGTCTTTTCCACATTTGACTCCACCAAAGATTAGCCAGTTTGGACACATCTTCTTTCCTCTCACAAATACATAAAACACAATACTTTTTCCCATGCACAATTATACTTTAAAAAGAAAATTAAAAAAAAAAAAAAAAGGCAATATATGGAATAAATTTTTTTTGCTGGCTGAACATTTTTCCAACACATTTAGCCACAGTAGTGTGCGCCCACGCTAAAGCTTTATGAATCCTACATTTTCTGGATCTACAGAAGTCTGCTTTTGGTGTAGAATCCAGCTTTTGCTGCTCTCTCTTTCTCTTTGCCCCTTGCACCTCCTTAGCAGTTCTTTCACTCTCCTCCTGCCCTAGTTTATTCTTTTGCTCTCTTTAGATTTTTTTTAAATAAAAAAAAACAACCCTCTAAATTTATAAAGTTTAAAGCTTATCCCTAAATAAGATAATTGGGATATAATGAGCTTTTTTCTTTGGCAATTGTAGTAGATATCATTGTAGAATCTAAGTTGTTTAATCACTTGTCTTCCCAGAATTCTCAGCTTTTGACCTGTCCTGTGATGTTAAATCGTCTTGTTAACTGACTTTTTGCTTGTTGTCAGCAGAACTGTGTAAAATAACCTTCTGTTAATGTAAATTAAGAATTAATTTTTCACATGTGACATAGATGATTTAGTATATAAAGCTTTAACTGAAAACTTTGTACCAAATTATAAGGAATATAATAATATTTTTATGCTGTCTTTCTTCTCTCCGTATTTAAATCTCCAGAATCTATTGGTAAGTGCTTAGTTCTGAAGCGCACTTCACCCCCACTAATTTCCATATTCAGAATATTATTATGATTATGATTATGATTATGATATGATTACTATTATTATTCTTAAAATGCATGGCATGCATTTTACTAACAGTCAGTGTAGTCACCAGATCCCTATAGTGGCGCACACGCACACCTCCACAGAAATGTTGTCTTATCAGTCATAGCAACACCTAAAAGAAACAGTACACATGTATCACATAGTTGTAGAACAGTAAATGCCATAATCCAGCCTAAACTACAATATTTGTTTTGAGTTAGCTTTCAGTGTATCCTCTTTTTATATATATATAGATTTTATATATATATATATATTTTTAAATAGAATTTCCAATATTTTCCTAAACTATGTCATAAGTACAGTATTGTAAAGTTTCCTTTAAGGCATATTCAATATATATCTAACCCTATATAACCCAACATCTAAGAACTCAGTTGCTACTCTGAGAATGGCAATGCAGCCAATTGTAGCCTTTGCCCTTTCTGGTACAATGCAACTTGCTTTTATAACCTGATAATACTATCTAATATATTCCTGTTTTAACAGTATAGTAATTCAAGTTTCTCTTAAGACCTTACTTAATTCTGTAAATCTAATTTGATTCTTCTTCCAAAGCCCTAGCCTCCTTCTTCTCGTACTAATGCTTCTTCTTTCTAATCTTATTTGCATTCATATTATCCACCCAGGTGGTACACCAATAAGAGGTAAGAGTGCTGAACTAACGTTCACAGAATGATCTTACTCATTCTCTCTGTCCTTTCATCCCTTTCATCTTTGTCCTGTTTGTTTTCTTTTTTTTTTTTTTAAGGAAAAAAAAAAAAGAAACAACAACCAAACAAAACAAACCACAGAAATGTCCATCATCTGGTTTTTTTTTTTTCCTTTGTCCTGTTTGGTTATGATCAGTGACTCTCATATTGTGACCTTTCTTTCTGCACAATCCCTTTTCCTTTCCCTTTTTTGTTTGTTCATTAAAAAAAAAAAAAAAAAGAAACAATAATTTGATTTGTGATATGCTTCAAAGAAAGCATATCCAGGTCTTCTGGCCATAGCCCAGTCACAGCGTACCATTTGTCCCTCTTTTTTCTTTTTCTTCTTCTTCTTCTTCTTTTTCTTCTTCTTCTTTTTCTTCTTTTTTTTTTTTTCTTTTTTTTTTCCTTCCTCTTTTTTTTGTCCAACTGGAGCAAAAAAAGATCATTTTTTTTCTTCCTTAGCTGTTCTTGTCCTGGACCAAAGCCAAGATGGTCTGGAGAACAGTAGCAGACATGCAGAAGACAACATGGACTATCTTCTTTTTGTCTTATCTTTCATAAAAGGTTTTTATTTTTGTTCTTCTTCAATCCTTTTTTTTCTTTTAACTTCGTAAAGTTGAAAATGATGTGTCCCCCCCCTAAAAAATTACAGAAATGTTTTTTTTCCTTTATTTTTTTTTGGTTGTTGTTTTCTTTTTCTTGGAGTTCTCTCACCTCTGGATTTTTGGATCTTCTAATCTACAGGCTTTGGAAATGACAGGTTAATGACTTACTATTCTTGGTGGTATGTGGTATTGTTGGTTTTTGATACTCTCGCTGTTTACTTCTTTTGTAATTCTTGTTTTGTATTTTTCTTGGGTTTTGTGACACCACACTGCTAATCCCACTTGTGGATTTTGATGGGTGTCTTGGGGGGGGCCCTCCTGTGGTCCTCAGCAGTGGTTGGTTGGTTCTTTCTTGTTGGCGTAGACCATGCTTTTTAACATTTTTGTCTTCTAATTCAACTGCTCTTTGTTTTTCAGCAAACGTACTTTAAGATTGTAAGTTGCGGAAAACTGTCTTTCTTTTCTTACCAATCTGCATGTCTTAAGGGAGTTTTGTTTCTTTAAACGAATATTTTGATAATTATAAATGACTAATGCGGTTTCTTTTTTTTTCACTTCAAGCAGCTTTTTTGTTCTTGCTGCACATTTTTGGCTTTCTTCAGCAGAAGATTTCTTGAAGCCTGTCCTGCCTTTTTTACGAGTACCACCTTTTGTGCTACTTATGTTACTAGATTGAAACAATGATATAATAATTAAAAAAGTATAATGACCCAGCTACTTAATCTCTTTTGTTTTATTCAAAAGCCATTCTTCCTTGAAGCAGTCTCACCCATCTTCATTTTAATGGTTTAGGAAAGAGTATTGTTTAGAGAGGGTTTTTTTACCAAATGTAAATTGTTTTCCTGTGCTAGCACTGATGATGTGAAAAAAATAATCTCTTTGTTTTTTTCATTGCATCATTTTCTGTCTGTGCACCTTAGCAAGAAAATGAACCGACGTTGAGTGGACCTTCGCATACAAGCTTTTCATATTGTTAAGCGGTGTATTATTATGGATATAAAAGGCCTTCTCTGACCGTCTCTTTGGAAATGTATTTTATATTCATACAGGTGCCCTGCAAATTGAACTGAGTGAAGAATCTGACCAAGGCAAATATGAGTGTGTTGCAACCAACAGTGCGGGTACACG